AACAATGGGCAGAGGAGGAGGCCTTATGGAGACCCCAATTCAGTAGGGAATTACATCATCAGTTGTGTATGCTCCCCTTTTTACTGAGAAGTCACCAAGACATTAGGACTTAGATGTGATGTCTATTTTAAATTAATATTTTCTGCAGAAAAATTTGTTTTTTGCCTCCATGCTAAAGAGTTAGTAAGCATTATAATAATTATTATGTTTACTCCCTTCATTATATCAGGGAATTCATAGAAAATAGCCACTTAAACTAAGTTCCTCCTTACTCATTTGATGGTGTATTAAGGTGACCCACCTATTTTTAACAATGTTTCAGTAACTATTTTATTTTAGCAAGGGGAAAGGGAAACCAGTAGAACAAATTGAGTGTCTCTGACAAACATTAAGAGCACTGGTATTACTTTTTGGTTAATTACTGATTCTTTTAAATCTTACCATTTCTGTGGATTAAAAATTTGTGGATGAGCTAAGCTGTGGTTATGAACTGGCTGATCCTCAAAATATCTGCCAGGTTCAGAGAAACTTTTCATAAAAGTGGGGTCTTATAGTCCTCTCTGATGAGATATCCTGTGGAGAAGCACATAACTCTGTCTTTTCCTAGACACAGTCACTTGGATCAAATTGGAGCATCTGAGCACAGGGTACTATTTACTAGACCTTGGCCGGACTTTCTGCTCAGATCTAGAGGAGTTGGAGGAGGATAGGAAAGGAGATATGAAAGAGAAGAGAGAGATCTGTTTGCTTTGGAGGTGCTTGCGTGTGTGTGCACACGTGTGTGTGTGCTCATACGTGCCTGTGTGCGCTCAGTGACTCAGCTGGGTCTGATTCTTTGCCACCCTATGGACTTTGACCAGCAGGCTCCTCTGTCCATGGGATTTTCCCAGCAAGAATACTGGCGTGGGTTGCCACTTCCTCCTCCAGGGGGGTCTTCCTGACCCAGGGATTGAACCTGTGTCTCCTGCATTGCAGGCAGATTCTTTACCACTGAGCCATCTGGGAAGCCCAGAAGTGCTACTAAGCCTCACTAGAGAGTGAGTCAGACTGAATCAGCTGGAGATAAAATCGAGGACATTGGAATCAGCCTGTTCTGAGTTGTTTTTAATTTTTTTACCTCCACCACTTCATGGGTGCATGAAATTGAGTAAGATCAATCACCTGTCTCGTGTGTATAAAATGGGGCTAATACATTTTCTTTGCAGGGCTATTATGGTAGGGCTGTTTTAGGGCTTTAAGATAATGAACAGGAAAAGCCTGGTCCAGTTTCTGGCATATAGTAGGAAATAATTATCCGTCTTAGTTGCTTCCTCTCACTTTAGCTTCATGCTACCTTTCCATAACTGCTCCATGAATAGCATCTAACTTTGGGGGTGAGATGACACTGACTTGTCCTTTGGCTTTTCTTTTTATAACATCGCTCACTCTAGTCCCAACAACTTCTAGGTTTCTTCTAATCAAAGAGTTTTATGATTCTTCTCTGGTACTGCATACAAATCTTTGCTGTCGTCATTCAAAATCAAGAGACTAAAGAGAATTTAATGGGCAGACATTTTCAGGCTTCAGTGTTATCTTTTCATGGCACTACTGTTACTATGGAATCAATGCTATGGAAAGGATGGTTTCAGAGCAAGAATCCAGCAACTAAACTCTAGATTTTATTTTTGAGATTTTTTTCTTTCCTCCTTTTTTTTGAGTCACAAAAAAATATATCTTTATTCTTTTCTGCTCAGGCAACTTGGTTTTATAGTCATTCACTACAATCCTTCTGACTCTAAGGAGACTAAAGATAAACAAACTTCAGTATTTCTTTCTATCAGGCTTTTAATCTATCATGAGAGTTGGTAACAGTAATTAATAACTGAGACACAATGAAAAGATTCTATAGTATGTGTGGTAAAATAATTAACTATTACAGAATTATAATTTAAGTCTCCCCCCTGTAGTAAACGAACAAGGCCTGCACCAGTATACAAGTTTGAATTAAAAAACTAGAGCTTGATTTAGGCATACCAATGAAAAAAATGCCCTCCAAAAACAAATTTGAAAGTAAGGAAAAACTTACTTGGAGTCATTTCTCTTGTGTAAAGATTGTGTAGTATTTTCTAGAATAAGTAAATCAGGTACATGGTAGTAGTTTCATGTCAATATTTTGATTTTCTTATTTTTTTAAGACTGGATTTAAACTCTTGATATAAAGCAGACTTTTAATTTCCCGTTTTTCAAAGACAATATTGAAAGGTCATCTTCTAGTTTCTAAAGCTGAAAGAAATGACTCATTCTACCACTACTGTCTTAAGGGCTTCAAAATCAAATTTCCGGTCAGTATTGTTCATTTTGATTTGGCAAATATGTATCCCTTTTTATGTGTTGTAAGAGAGATTATTTTTAAGAGCTTTTGTTTCTGGTTTCTATATTTTACCTAGTAGATCTTCAGAAAAATTCAACAAATAGATAAAAAGAACACTCCATGCTTTAATGAAATATACTGTTTGTGTTAGCTGTAACAAAATCTCTGATAGAGATTCATAGATGATCTGGAAAGTTTCTCATTTTATTAATCTCAGATTTATCTTTACAAACTACTTTATTTTTTATTGCTTCCTAATTAGTAAAGATAGCTACTTTCAGAAAGATGAGCATTCTCAAAATGAAGACTTGGTTCCCCAGAAATGTAGCAGCAATCAAACGGGAGCTATGCCAGAGTATGGGTCATCAGTGAGTGAAGCTTAGATCAGACTAAGTCCAGAAAACTTTTCTTTTTCTCTCTAGTGATGAGAAACCATGGAAGCTTTTGTGCCCAAAGAGACATGGTAGAGCATTTGGCAGAGGAGCCAGGATGGCTTGAGGGTCAGGGCTGAAGTGCCCTGGCAAAAGTGCCACCTGTCACCTCTGGACTGTGGTCTGGTTCCAGCTGGGTTCAGTGGACCTGCTCTGGCTGAATGGACTCCAGGAAAACCTACTTAGTCCAGATTCTTTGAGGAACAAACAACAAATGGATTCTAGGCTCACCATTGACTGATTAGAAAGTCTCGGCTTATCCTCAGCATTGACTTTTCAAAAACTATTTATTTTATTTATTATTTAATTATTTGGTTGCATCGGGTCTTCACAGCAGCACCCAGGGGATCTTTAGTTGCAGGATCTAGTTCTGCAACCAAGGATCGAGTCTGGGCCCCCTGCATTAGAGGCACAGAGTCTTAGCCACTGGGCCACCAGGGAAGTCCCTCAGTGTTGACTTTTAATCAAGACGTATTTATTAACCAATATTACATGCTTCAAGACCATCTAATTTCAAATTTCCCACAAACAAACTTTGTTTATTTACTGATATGTGTGTACTCAGTCGTGTCTGACTCTGTGACTCCACTGACTGTACCCTGCCAGGCTCCCCATTCCATGGAATTTCCCAGGCAAGAATCCTGGAGTGGGTAGCCATTTCCTCCCCCAGGGGATCTTTGGAACCCAGGGATGGGGACTGAACCCCGCCCCCAGTCTCCAGTACTGTGCTTTTACTACTGTGCTACCTGGGAAGCACAAGTTAATTCAAATACCCCTATGAAAAGTTAGATATCTTCAATGGCGAAGAGATCAGAACTCAGAGAATGATTAAGGCACATGTTCTTCTCATCCCTAGACACCTGCTCTTCAGTTTTTTAAAAAATAATTTAAGTCTTTAAGATTTCCAAATACTGCTACTAACATAATTTTATTCATAATGCTTTTTCAAAAACCTTTTTCTGAACTTTAATAAAATTCTCCTACTTAGGAAATTAGGACTGTTTATGTTCCAAAGTTTTCCTTAGCCTGGAAGACAGGAATCATTTCCACCCGTGTTGCTAAAAACATGACAACAGGCCCCAAATGCTAAATGCTAAATTCTCCATCAAAACTGAGACAATCCCAAATTTTGGCTCTCCTAGAAAATGGGAGCTTTGGCTAGTCAATAGGTAGGTGCTTGATCAGCATTAATTAGGTGATATGCCTCATAGGCCCCCACCATCCCGTAAAAGAAAGATACCTTTCAATAATCAGTCCGTTTTTTGCCTGGTATAACGTCCTTGTTCCTAAGCCCTTCTGCTCATAATAGCCTTTCATTTTGTATAGGTCCTCGGAACTTCTTTCTTTCAGTCACATTGGATGTTGTCTAAATCATGACTGGTTGAATAAAGCCAGTAAGATCTTTAAAATGTATTCATATGAGTTTTTCTGAACAGTGTGCCTTTAATTTTGTCAAAATTGTTATTATTTTATCGGTTTATAAGAAACAATATTTATTGAGAACATCAAATACTTTCCGAGAAAAGAACCCAGTGCAGAAAATGATAAAGAATATCCAGAGAAATGAGCAGAGAGAGTCCAGTTCCTCCTAAAGAAACAAACATCCTTTTGAAATTCTGAATGCCACTGCAGTATCTACTAACTTTATTAAAAACACTAAAAGACTTGTGAATTTATGGTCAAAATTCCAGATTCCATTGTTTGGTCACTCCCTTTTATCTTCCCCATCTCACGTTTTGACTGAAAATCCGTAATTGGTCTGGTGATTTTCCAGGAAGAGAAGACACGGGGATAGTTTACCTTTGGAAGTATAAGAAATTCCCAGGGATTAGGACATCATAAGCTAACTAATTTCTACTGGATTTAAATGTTACTTCAGTTGTTCACAACAAATTTCGAGTTAACTTGAAATGGATTACTTGCGTATACGCCTTTTTCTGAAGGTTAATGAACGTATTCATTAGTCCCCTACGAGTTTAAGCCTCTGAAATAAGCATGAAGTAAAGCAAAGATGCGGACCTCACAGGTAAAAAGGCTGAAATTTCCTAGACCTCAGGTACTGCTCTCAGTAGTCAGGCAGTAAGTGTGCTTTCGGCCTGAAACTTGTACAGTTGTTTTGGAGGATGGCCCCAGCTCTGTCAAGACCCATTGAGGGCCCCAGCTCTGTCAAGACCCATTGAGTTTTGCCTCTGGAGTGTAACATCCCTTGACTGGGAGCCCTAGTTCAGAGTCAAACCCCAGAGGCGGAGAAGGTGGGGCACGTCGCGCCGCCGGGCGCAGCGCGCGGGCGGGCGGGTCGGCTCCCCGGCCTCCGGGTTCGAGGCTCCGTGCCGGGCGCGGGTGCGGGCCGCTAACTTCGGGCCAATCAGCGCGCGGCGTCCCTGCGCCCCCGCGCCCGCCGTGGCCTCCGCCGCTCGCGGCCAAGCCGGACCCGGGACGAGGAGGGGCCGCGCCGCGGGGGATCCTGGAGTCGGAGGGAGGTGGGGATTCTGCGAGGAAGGCTCCATTTCCTCCCCGCTCGCCGGCCTCTCCCCGCCGCCCCGGCACCCCAAGTCCCCGGGGCCGGCGCTGAGGGCGGCGGCGGCGCGGCGGGAACATGCTGGGCATGTACGTGCCGGACAGGTTCTCCCTGAAGTCCTCCCGCGTTCAGGACGGCATGGGGCTCTACACGGCCCGCCGCGTGAGGAAGGTGGGTGACCCGCGGCGGCCTGCGCGTCCCCGCTCCCGCCGCCCTGCGCGCCCCTCAGCCGCGGGCTCCGCGCGCGCCGCCTCTCTTCGGGAAGCCCCGCAGGGAGCCGGGGCGGCTTCCGAGTCCCGCTCCTCCGAGGCGGCGCCGCCACGTAGGTGCGGCGCCGCCGGCCGCTCTGCAGCAAGATGTCTTTCCTCCGCCGCAGGAAGTGAGGCGGGATGCTGCCTCCCACCGCCGCGGCCCGGCGGGGGCTGTGTCCTGGCGCTGGCAGAGGCGCGCGCGGGCGGCTGTCGTCCGGGCGCGCACGCAGCCCCGCCAACGCTTACTTGCTTCAGGATGTGGAAGTGTGACCAGAAGCGCCCCGCTTTCCCGGTGGGCATGGATGGGGGTGGGGGCGCCGCCCACAGCGCCGCGTTCCCGCAGGCCTCAGCATCTCCTTCTGGCATCCAGCAGTTCTTCCCCTCTTTTCAGAATGTGCAGTGTGAGTTCTGGGAGGGGCCGTCTAGATAAGGTTTGACTCTCGGCCCTTTTCTCTCAGGTTTTCAGAATTTTTCCTCCCTCCATCCAGAAGTTTAGAGACACGTGAGTAGGACCGGCACAAGCCGGTGGCTGTCAGGGAATGGCCTGGAAGTGCTGGAGGTTGAAAGCAAACGCTTAGGAGAGATTACGGGAAAATGCCAAGCCTTTGTATCTGGTGAGAGTGTGTTCCAGCCGCCATTCCGGAGGATAGATGATATCACAAACCGTGGAGGCAGCGCTCAAGTGTGCAGGACAGTGAGAGCCAGCGTTTACTGAGCAGCTACTTGGTGCTGGGGCCCGTACGTGCTGTTTTATCTCTGTGGGTAGCTTCGCTGGAGTAACACTCCTGCGAGAACAGTCTTAATCTGCGTGCAGGAGAGAAGAAAACAGAAGGACTTGGAGGTTAAATTTCCTGCTGAGTTAGTGAGTTAGGCTGCAAACCCCTTGCTTCTTGATCCAAAGCCCAAGTTTTTTTCAGGTCTTTTTCTGCCATCTTCCCATCACCCGTCACCCCAACTCTGTTAGGGGTGAGGTTTGGGGGAGAGCAGGTTTGTTCTGTGAAGGTAGGCTAACAGGAGCTTTGCAAGATGCACCTGAGACCCAGGGATGCCTTTCATTTGAGTATGAGTTTTCCTCACCCCCTCACCTAAGGAGCTGGAGAAGGGAGGCGCACAGAAAGCCTTCACTGACAGCAGGGCGGATGAGCAACACCCAGGGTAAAGCTGGGAGTGATAGACCCCCTATTTACTCTTTTAAATAGGAGGCTGGGGAGAATGCTCCAAGGTGAAAAGCAGGTACCAGCACTTATCTGAATAGGTGTTTTTGCCCAAACAGTAAACTTCTGCTCTTTCACAGCAGAAGTTGAGATTCTGCTTTTAATTTTCTCACAAGACATGAAAATTCCCAAGTGGCTTTTTCTTGACGGTCTCAGTACTGAATGTAAGTACTTAAAAAGCACAGTTCTTAAACATTAGTTTAATGGTGGTGGTTTAATTGCTAAGTCGTGTCCGACTCTTGGGACCCCAGGGATCTAGTAATATACTAAAATTGTAGAAATATTACACTTACTAAATTATCCTTATTTTGCCTTACTAAGATTTCTAGAAAGAGCTGGCTGATACATGTTCTTTTGATATTTTTATTCCAAATTATTTTTCCAAGAATTATTTGGAAGTTTTAAATTATTTTGTGGTATAGAGTGAACAGCTTCCAAAATTATATATTTCTGCATTTTATTACCGCAGTATTTACAGATACTATGTTTTCTTAGTTTATGTAAGTTCAACATGTAAAACACATGGTTTCATCTAGGTCATAATTAGAATTCTTAACCTGTATTTCAAGTGAATCTGCAGATATTTGCAATAAGTTCAAATCATATACTGTTCGTGACAAAGTTTAGTTGTGATCACAAGATACTCAGTCATAAGGTAATTGATCATGGGCACGTTCATTGATGCCAGAAATGACCTTTTAGGTTTCAGCTCCTTTGCCTTGCAAAAACTGGTCTAAAGCTGAAGCTGAATGGCAGATTTTAGCTGTGCTATGAAGCTAAAGCTGAATATCGGTGCATCCCTTATCTGTTTGCATATAGTTTCCTGATGCTTAAATACTTTTCAGGTAACCTTGTACTAGGTTCAACTCTGGTCTTTAATAAAAGGATCTGAGGAAAAAATATTTTAGCAGCTGTATTAAGGATCTTACTTAGAAGGCTTTTGTTCTTTCTGAACAAATTTTGGAATCTAATTTTAGGTTTTTAAGTGGGAAGTTATAGATGTTTTAGTACACTTTTATAACATGTATGCTTGCATGTTATTATTGCCAAATTCAGACTTAAATTGAAGAAAGTACGGAAAACCACTAGACCATTCAGGTATGACCTAAATCAAATCCCATACGATTATATAGTGGAAGTGAGAAATAGATTCAAGGGATTAGATCTGATAGAGTGCCTGAAGAACTATGGACAGAGGTTCATGACATTATACAGGAGACAGGGATCATAGACTATCCCCAAGAAAAAGAAATGCAAAAAAGCAAAATGGCCGTCTGCAGAGGCCTTATAAATAGCTGTGAAAACAAGAGAAGCCAAAAGCAAAGGAGAAAAGGAAAGATATACCCATTTGAATGCAGAGTTCCAAAGAATAGAAAGGCGAGATAAGAAAGCCTTCCTCAGTGATCAGTGCAAAGAAATAGAGGAAAATAATAGAATGGGAAAGACTAGAGATCTCTTCAGGAGAATTAGAGATCCCAAGGGAACATTTCATGCAAAGATGGGCTCAATAAAGGACAGAAATGGTAGGGACCTAACAGAAGCAGAAGATATTAAGAAGAGGTGGCAAGAATACACAGAAGAACTGTACAAAAAAGATCTTCGTGACCCAGATGATGACGATGGTGTGATCACTCACCTAGAGCCAGACATCCTGGAATGTGAAGTCAAGCAGGCCTTAGGAAACATCACTATGAACAAAGCTAGTCGAGGTGATGGAATTCCAGTTGCGCTATTTGAAATCCTAAAAGTTGATGCTGTGAAAGTACTGCACTCAGTACTTTCCATTTCCCAGCAAATTTGGAAAATGCAGCAGTGGCCTCAGGACTGGAAAGGGTCAATTTTCGTTCCAGTGCTCAAGAATGCTCAAACTACTGCACAATTGCACTCATCTCACACACTAGTAAAGTAATGCTCAACATTCTCCAAGCCAGGCTTCAGCAATACGTGAACCGTGAACTTCAAGATGTTCAAACTGGTTTTAGAAAAGGCAGGGGAACCAGAGGTCAAATTGCCAGCATCCATTGGATCATCGAAAAAGCAAGAGAGTTCCAGAAAAACATCTATTTCTGCTTTACTGACTATGCCAAAGCCTTTGACTGTTTGGATCACCACAAACTGTGGAGCATTCTTCAAGCGATTGGAATACCAGATCACCTGACCTGGCTCTTGAGAAATCTGTATGCAGGCCAGGAAGCAACAGTTAGAACTGGACATGGAACAACAGACTGGTACCAAATAGTGAAAGGAATATGTCAAAGCTGTATATTGTCACCCTGATTATTTAACTTGTATTCAGAGTACATCATAAGAAACACTGGGCTCGAGGAAGCACAAGCTGGAATCACAAGATATATTGCCAGGAGAAATATCAATAACCTCAGATATGCAGATGACACCACCCTTATGGGAGAAAGCGAAGAAGACTTAAAGAGCCTCTTGATAAAAGCAAAAGATGAGAGTAAAAAAGTTGGCTTAAAGCTCAACATTCAGAAAACTAAGATCATGGCATCTGGTCCCATTACTTCATGGCAAATAGATGGGGAAACAGTGACAGGCTTTTATTTTCTTGGGCTCCAAAATCACTGCAGATGGTGACTGCAGCCATGAAATTAAAAGACGCATTCTCCTTGGATGAAAAGCTGTGACCAACCTAGACAGCATATTCAAAAGCAGAGACATTGCTTTGCCAACAAAGGTCCATCTAGTCAGGCTATGGTTTCTCCAGAAGTCATATATGGATGTCAGACTTGGACTCTAAAGAAAGCTGAGCGCTGAAGAATTGATGCTTTTGAACTGTGGTGTTGGAGAAGACTCTTGAGAGTCCCTTGAATTGCAAGGAGATCCAACCAGTTCATCCTAAAGGAAGTCAGTCCTGAATATTCATTGGAAGGACTAATGTTGAAGCTGAAACTCCAATACTTTGGCCACCTGATACAAGAACTGACTCATTTGAAAAGACCCTAATGCTGGGGAAGATTGAAGTCCTGTGGAGAAGGGGATTACAGCAGATGAGATGGTTGGATGGCTTCACCGACTCATTGGACGTGAGTTTGAGTAAACTCCAGGGGTTGGTGATGGACAGGGAGGCCTGGTGTGCTGCAGTCCATGGGGTCACAAAGAGTCAGACATGACTGAGTGACTGAACTGAACTAATTCTTACATAATAATTATTATTTTTTAAAAAATTGCAGTTTAAGTCATATGTTGATTTCAGAAAATCTTATTGTAGACCTGTACTGATCTTGGGGGATTTTGCTAGACTTTCTATTTGCAGTGCATCTATCATACTGATCTGGAATTCCCTTACCAATTGGATCCTTTGATCCTTTTCTAGACCCATCCCTTTTTGTGTGGTGTTTCCTAGAGTGGGGAGGTGGGTCTCTGCAGCCAAGTCACCTAATACCCTGGTTCCACCTTTGTTCTACTAGGTTTTTCCTTGGCAGTTGTCTTGTTTTTGTAGGCTTGGTACTGCTGCTGTTGCTGTCTGCACCACACCCCCCACTTTTTTTTTTTTTTTTGCTATAAAGTCGATAAAATGACAAGAAGAAGAAATGGAAGGAACTTCTTTTTCTTTTTGGCCATTATGGAATGCCCTTTCCTTTTCTTGTTGTTTATTCGCTAGGTCGTGTCCCCCTGTTTTGCCACCCCATGGAGAGTAGCCTACCAGGCTTCTCTGTCCGTGGGATTTCCCAGGCGAGAATACTGC